TGACTGTGTGAAGTTTGATTAAAAACCAAGAAAGAATGAAGACGCTAGAGTGCTGACAAAGTTTTTCTATTTATAGTAATAATGACCTTGACCTTGATCCGATGACCTTGAAACTCGAACTTGTTGAAGATATTTTAATTCTTTACATGTGTGTAAAGTTTGATTAAAATCCATGAAAGAATGAAGGCTCTAGAGTGCTGACAAACCTCTTCGGACAGACGGACAGACGCACAGACAGACAGACGGACGGACCCACGGACAGACGGAGGGGAAAACTATAGTCCCCCCGGCCTGGTAGGGGACTAATAAGCTGAGATACACTGGGCCAGTAACTGTGATATGACACTTTCTTTACTCCCATCCTTCACAGACGTATCTCCCGTTTAAGCTGGAGAAGATAAGCTTGCCACCCCCTTGGGAGAGATCGCCTCGTGCAGAATGGCGCAATTTAAGTAATATAACAATCCTATGACGTCACGTCATCAATGCATTGACGTCACGTCAACAGTAGCAGACCATGGAAGACAACTCTGGATTTGCTGGAAAAATATGCAATCAACGCTTATATTTCATGCAATCACCTCTTGTATTTAAGATGGGAGAAAAACAATCATCCCCCCTACCTTGAGGTTGTGATAGAGAAATATCCAACCCACGGTATGATATTTTCGAATGTCTTACCCTCGGGTAAGACAATCAAGAATACCATCAATCGGGTTGGAGATTTCTCTGTCACACATTCAAGGAAGGGTAGAATTATCTTAGTTATAATATACTATTCCCTCAAATGATGTCACATTTAACATTGCCATCATATGGGAATCAGTTTTTTTAGTCAGTGATTGGATTTGTATATCACTTTTTGTATACATATTGAATCTTTATTTCTAGCACTCACCTGCTTTGTGTGTATGAAAAAGTCTAATAATCTTTTCGTTTGAGACAGGACAGATTAATTTTACAATATATACAGCATTTGATATAGCGCCCTATCTAGCTAACATAAGCCACTCTAAAGCGCTTTACAGTACATAGATATACAATTAATACAATTAGCATATACATTAATCAATACAATAATTTTGAGGAATTCGCAGAAGCTGCCTTACCAGGCGCGAACTACTAGTCCTACGCCACCTGGCTAATATCTCCCTATGTGTGTATGCCTGCGTGTGTGCTGGAGATGTAATGTGTTCTGTAAGACTATGGATATTCCGGTCAAGTTTTTGAGAAAATTTCAACTCGTTACCAATTTTTTGGCAAGACTTTTTGAAGTTTAAAACCAGGTTATATGTACTGTATACTGGAAAATTTTTGCCCAGTCAAACTTTCACCCTTCGCCAGAATAATCAATCTTCACCCGTTGTTTATGCCACCCTACACAGTCAATTACATGTACTATGTATATTTTGTTGTTTATTAATGTTCGGTGTAATGATAAATTCGCCCTCATAACATATATGAACAGCGGGTGAAAAAGGCGAAAATTAAATTACAGCGAAAATTTCTCAGTATATCAGAAAATGCTGTTCTGCAATGATTTTTTTTTTTTTATCAAAACTCGATGTTTTCAAACACAACTGACCTGGTTATTGAGATTTCCCCTGTACTTGTACTCTGTAAAGTCTGTGATTTCCTCCGCAGTTTCTAGACCTCGAATGAGTGCCTCCCACACTGATATAAATAGGTCCACGGTTCCGTATTGGTCACGGTCAGGCGGAGACCCCAGGGCCAGAGCAGCATTGATCCGGACCTTGAAGTTCTTACAGTCGCGCACCACTGCACACAGCGCTAGAATTATGTCCTTCTGTTGACATGGAAATAATTTAATTTACATGATAAAAATAAAGCAGTCTGCATTCATGTATACATTTCAAAACTGACATCAACTTGTGTGGACCTTTCAAATCTGACTTCAGTTCTTGCACACTTTTCCTAAACTGTCATCAATTCTTGTGTACCTTTCACATGTCATCATTTTTTTGTATCTTCTTTTTTCAATGTGTCATCAAATCTTGTGCTGCAGGCCGCACCTTTTTAACTGTATCATTCTTCAATTGTGTCTTAATTCTTAAATAGCTTTCAAATATGCCATCAACTCTTGTGTACTTTCAAACAGGTCACCAGCTATATATATCGCAACTTTCAAATGTGTCATCATTTTTTGTGTACCTTTCAAATGTGTCATCAATTGTTGTGTACCTTTCAAATGTGTCATCAATTTTTGTGTAACTTTCAAACGGGTCATCAAATCTTGTATACTTTCTAATGAGCCATGAGTTATTTTATAACTGTTAAAAGTGTCATCAGCTATTGCATACATTGTAAATTGTCATCAATACGTCGTGTCCGAGATACAAGTTTCCTGAACAAGTGTCATGTGTAAGATGGTAAAGGTGGGGTCAACATATTTCTTTCTTTTATTCTTTTGCCATATGAAGATACATAAAAATGATCAATAACTGCATAAATGATTATTCATAGTTACTACTGATAACCGTAGTGGACCTCCTTGCATAACACCAGGTTGAGTGATGGGGGTATCCTAACAAAATGGAAGATAAATGTCACAGGCAAATGTTATTTTGAAAATGAATTGTGATATTATATAAAATTACTGTTATTTTGATACTAAATATGTCATATTGGTATACATGAAGTAAGCGTAGCGATACTGTTAATAAGAAAAACATGCAAAATTTACAAAACAAAAAATGAAATATTACCAACATTGTCAACTTGCCTATATATAGTTACAATGGTAGTCTATATTTTAAACTTCTTTAAAAACTTTCCAGATATATATATTCTATCTATAGAATCATTTTTTATGAATATCAAAACTGGTAAAGTACTTTTTTAGCATGCCAAACATGATCAATGGCCAATTTCACATAATCATTGAGTTTTGATTAACAATGTTTATTATGATAAATACCGATACATTTTCTGTTTTTGTATCATACCAAAACATTTTATTATACTACGCATGATTTAAAGTTACCCGTATATGCAGCAGTAATGACTCATGAATATGTATTCTGCCAAAGTAATCTTCCCTCTGCAGAATTACTTAAGGTTGAGATTGCATGCGTTATAGACAAAGATATGCAATAATACAAGAGGCCCAGTGGGCCTGTATCGCTCACCTGAATATGTTTAAAATAGTTGGTATGAAGTAAAGATATAGCACTCCATGGTAGGTGCTGTAAGTACCGGTACATATGAAATTTCAGAAAGATCCATCCAGTACTTGAGATATAGCGAGACCAAACTTCAAACAGAGCCCTACCCCTAGGGGGATCATACCCACCGTTTATATAAAATTGAGTCCCATTGGCCAATATTTACATTTTCATGGCATTGTCACTATAAAGCCTCTTTGAAAGCTGTGTCGTTGATGGGACTTTAATTATCATGCATTACGAGACACACAATTCTTAGCGTATTAATACAACACTGACCGGAACTACAATATCCAATATAAATAAACATGACGGCTGCTGAAATATTGCTGAGCATTGTGAGATTTGACAATGTCATTGTAAATTTATGTGCCTGACCCACGTTTACAAAATTGGTTCCCCTTCACCCAAGGATGCTTCAGACAAAATATGGAACAAATCCTTCCATTTCTACAGAAGAAGAAGGATTTTAAAGAATTTGCTATATTTCCCCTATT